CCCCAAAACCCCAAAACCCCAAAACCCCAAAACCCCAAGATCTGAAAATTTATATAATTTTTTCATAGGATGAAAGCAGCAATCGCTATTGCTACGTTGACCTTGATATTTGCAGGGCTTGTGGGATACCACTCGCTTTTGACTAATTATTCTCAGGAAATAGATATGCATGCTGATGATGCTATTATTGATAATAGTACAAATGCTAATGTTCATGAGGTTGCCACACAGCACCTTCATCTGAATCTTACTCTTGAGTTTGATAGAAAAGTTGCATATGGAACTGCTACTCATACGATGAAGGCACTCGTGGATAACCTCAACCATATTGATCTTGATGCAAGATACTTAAATATTGGGCAAGTCAAATCTCAGGAAGGAAAGAATCTTAAATTCCACTATGAAGAGCCTAATCCAAATATTGGGCCTAAGCTAGTAATCGAAGTTTCAAATAAAATCAAGAAAGACGATATTTTCAACATCACTATCGAGTACGAGACAACTGACAAGACTCTTTCACTAAATTGGCTTGACCCGGAGCAAACTGCTGGAAACACTCTGCCATACGTTTTTACTCATTGTGAAGCTATTGATTGTAGAACTTTGGCTCCTTTACAAGACACTCCATCTGTAAAATCTACCTATTCAGCTCTGATTCGTTCACCCAGAGACATCAAAGTGTATATGTCTGCTGTGAACTTAGGTGATAGAGTGGAAGGTAACTCAAGAGTCACCGAATTCTCTCTGGATGTCCCTATTCCTTCCTACTTAATTGCTCTTGTTGCTGGAGATCTTGAATACAAAAAACTAGGAAGAAATACAGGAGTGATCACTGAACCTGTCTTTATGAAAGCTTGTGTTGATGAGCTCTCTGAGCTTCAGGACTCGTTAGACGTAGCTGAAAGCTTTCTCACAGAGTACGAATGGGGAATGTATACAATAGTTGTCCTACCTCCTAGCTTCCCCTTTGGAGGAATGGAAAATCCACTCTTGACCTTTGCATCACCGACTATTATAGTCGGTGATAAAAGTCAGGTTAATGTTGCCTCCCATGAAATAGCACACTCTTGGACAGGAAACTTGGTAACTAATAGGAATTGGGAGAATTTCTGGCTTAATGAAGGATTTACAATGTGGTCTGAAAGAGCAATCATCAGAAAACAAAGGGGTGAAGAATTCTACCGTGTTGCTAGCGCCTTAGGTAATTCGTCACTCTATGACGATCTTAATCTCTACGGCTACGATAGTACGTTCACTTCTTTACATCCAAATTATGCTGGTGCGAACCCATACGATACATTCTCAGATGTGCCTTACGAGAAAGGCTTCTTGTTCCTCACCTACATTGAGACTCTTATGGGCACAGAGAACTTTGAGGTGTTCCTTAGGTTCTACCTCGAGAAATATAGAAGGCAAAGCATCGTCTACTCACAGTTTATTGATACCTTCTTAGAATTCCTCGATGATAACTTCAGTGAACAGGAAAGGAACAAAATCGTTACTAAGATTGACTTCCATACTTGGATATTCGGAACAGGACCTCCACCTGTCCAGCTCAACTTTTCTACACCCAATTTGGAGATTAGTAGAGAGCTAGCTGATGCTTATCTTTTGGGTAATGGAACACCCAAAAATTATGATGTGTTCTTTGGCTACTTTTCTCTGCTAAAATGTATATTCTTGCAAAGATTAGTGGATAGAGCTGAGGACGCAACGATTCCAATCCTTGAGCAAATAGACAAAGACTACACTTTGACCACCACGATTGATCCTGAACAGAAGTACTTATGGCTCCAACTATGAATCATGGCTGGGTATGACAAGGCAATTCCATTTGCTGATGAGTTTCTTGGCCAGGTCGGAAGACAAAAGTATCTGCTCCCATTATACAGGTAAGCCTCATTTCTTATTTCTAGAGCTCTTAAAGATTATGATATCAACCTTGCGATCCAGATTTTCAACAAGCACAAATTAGGGTACCACCCTGTCGCTGTTGTAAATGTTGGAAGAATTCTTGGAGTCTAATTACATCTTTGACCAAGAAAACGTCTAAGATATTGATCTTCGATATTACCCACAGTGTGAACCTAGAGGGGTTTTGGGGTTTTGGGGTTTTGGGGTTTTGGGG